TGCTTTAACTGATCACCCTTTTGGGAGAACCCAAATGGGAGCAAGTGGCCTGCAGGAACTAGCATGCGGCTCATCCATGACAAGCCAGGATTCTTTAGAATCTTGGCTTGCAGAGGTTAAAAGTGACCCATGTGACATTAGTGGCTTCTATTCCTAGATTTGTTTTGTACAAAGCCCAAGAAAAGGAAGAAGCATGATGACATTCCCTAGCAACTGTAGCTCCTGTTCTTCAACAACTCGCAGCCTGGAAGTGGCTGGATTATGAATTCTGTATTTGCTCAGTCAAAACAACTTGTCTTCTCCTTGCTTCAACCAACCAGCTGGAGTTAATATATGGCACTAGGATAACTACTTCCAACCTGATGGAAGAGAGGAGGACAGTTGTAGGCCTGGGTTGAAAAGATCGATGGCCATGATGTTTGTTTCCCTATATCCATGTACAAGACAGAACCAAACTTTACATGAAATGTGGAGTTGCCATTGTGGTAGAGCAGGTTGACCTGCATCCAACTAGATAATGAGTTTGTTAACACATTACCTTGTACCTACACAAACCACCGGTCCATATATCTTCGTACTGTTTAGATTGACTGGGCCAAGCTCTTAAGAGTTCCTCATTCCTATTATACACTCAGGTTTACGACACCTTTCTGCTCCAGGTGCCTCATGCATCTCCAGCATCCTTCATTGTGAAGAAAGTCTCACCTTGTTTTCAAATGGACAGGTATTCACTTCTACCTTCCCTCAAGTGGAGAGTCCAAGGCCTTCGGAGCTTGTCCTTTCCCTTCTGTCAGCCCTGAGGCCTTGGGAAGTAGGTTCAGCTTAAGGCAGTTTCCCCCAACCTGGCCCCCTCCAGATGGGCTGTACTACAGTGCCCGCTGTTCCTAGCCAAAGTGGAATAGACCACGCTGGCTGGGAATGAGGAGAGTTGTCTGATGCTTTTGGAGAGCACTGGACTGCGGGAGGTTGCTGTAAGTCCTCTGAATGGAACAGAAGCCAAGGCACTGTGGCCATGGTCCAATCCTTCCCTACTCCTCTTAGTGGTCTGCCCCGTCCTTCCTCCTCCGCTGACATAAGCAAGGCTCCAGATGTGCAGCATTGCAACTGCAAGATGGAGGCAGATCTAACTGGGCAGGCAAGGGGCAAGAGAAGGTAGGTCCACGTGGTGTAATGCTTCAAGGGTTGCACCAGCATCCAGGAGATCCAAGTTCTAGTCTGCATTCAGCCAAGAAGTCCACTGACTTCACAGCTTCACAGACTCACAAGATTGTTGTGAAGATAAAGGAAAAGGAGGAAGACCATGTAAGCTGCCTTGGGTTCCTTGCAAGAGGAAAAGAGGCAGGAGAGGATGATGATGATGATGATGATGGATGGTGATTGATGATGATGGGAAAGTGGGATGCATCCATTCCTTCACCCTCCCCGATTTTTGAATTATATGAGGAACATTAAGGGCCACAACTTCTGTTTCCTGCCCACAAAGTTAATCACCGTTCGGGCTCCCTGTCACCTAGGGCCAGGATGGCCTAGCAGTTAAGAGCACAAGACTGGGACGTGGGTGATCTGATTTCTAGTCCTCGCTCAGCTATGGAATCAACTGCGTGACGTTGGTCACAGACTCTCAGCTCAGCCTACCTCACGGAGTTGTTGTGGAGATAAGACTGAGGGCAGCAGGAGAAGAACGATGTAAGCTGTGTTGAGATTTTTTGTAAAGAAAAAGAGGGATATAAATCAAATAAATTAACCTTCTGAAAACAATAGCTAGGGAGCTGTGCCATCACAAAAATGGGGAAGGGGTTCTCTTTGCCTCTGTTGGTGAAACACTGCCCTTTCCTCCTCTATGTATCATACTCGCCTTGGGATATTCTATTTCCAACAGAAAAATCCTTCACAAGCTTCAAGGTGGGAAAACTAGCTATCTTAGGGTGTAGGTGCTATGTTTTGCTATGGAACCCTGCAGAAGGTGGTAACTGGCTACATTCAGCCTGACACCTTGTCCTAGCCTGCCAGCCAGGCATAAACTTTACCTCTTTCTCAGATTTCTAACTGGGAATGGGAGAATTTGTGGGCGACTTCTCACCAAAACACTGTAGGTGACTGTGTTGGGTGGCCACTCATAAACAGCCCGAAAAGGAGGGCCAAAAATGGCTGTATAGATGCAGATATAGAAATAATATTATGAAATACTTATTTAATAATTATATATAATTAAATAATTGAATACGTATCTAATAATTAGTAAAAGTAGAAATAATCAGAAGTGGAAATACAGTACATCTTGTCATAGTGTGCAAAACCAAGCATCCAGATGCTGTTGATGGGCAGATTCAAGGCCCAGCTCTCTCTTCCGTGGGTTCTTTTTAGCAAACTTAGACTGTGTAGCCTCTCCGAGGATGCCTTCAAAATAATGGACAGGACACACAGTCACTTTGCTTTCACCCCAGAGAAATTTGGTCGTTCATATAGACTCAAACTGAGTTGGAAAATGTGCAGAGAGGGACGACTAGAATAACCAAGGGGTTGGCACGACTTCCCTATGAGAAATGGCTGCAATAGCTGGGATTGCTTACTTGGAAAAAGGGCAAGGAGAAACGTGAAAGAGGGGTTCAGAATTATAGATGGTGTGAAGAAAGTAAGAGAGAGAAATGTTTTTCCCTCTCTTATCTTACTAGAAGCCAAAGTGGTCATCAGCATATAGTCACCACAGGAAGCAGGGATGGGCACCCATTTGGGCAGCGTTAAAGGGCAGGGGACAAATTCTAAGAGAAGGTGATCACTGTCGACTGGTCTTAATGGCTGCGCACTGTATGGGCTATCAGAGGCAGCCTGCTTGTCTCCTTATCTTGCTCACGGGCTCTGGTGGGCCACTAGCCCCTCTCTGGTTTGCCACTATGTGAGGAAAATGCTGCATTGGATGGACCACCGGCCTAGTCCAGCGTGGCTTTTCTTCTTGCTTAAACAAGCAGATAAGAACAGTGTGAAGTTTTCTAATCTTGGCAAATGGTTGTCTGTACTGAACAAGGTTACACTGGAAAGCATGAATGAGCATAGAGGAAAAGTGCTGGGATGTTGCCAAGTGAGGAGCCGGGGCCCTTGAGTGATGCACCAGAAATATTGGTAGCAACAATGGCGACTTAGTATTTAAAGGCCAAAAGAAAATGCAATCCCTCTTATAATGCTAACTTTTAAGGGAAGGAAAATGTGTGCATGCCATGCTGCAAGGAATAAGAAGCCAAGTTTCTAGCTCTTATGGATGCAAATATAGGTCTGGAAGCATGTGAGCAGTGATTGCTGAAATGTCGGAAACCAGAGTTGGCAGAACAATAAGGTCCTTTGCACAGAGAGTCTGGCTTTGCTTCAGTTCCCGTTTATAGCGCCTTGCCTTTCCCCATGCTCCACAGAACCAGAAATATGTATGCAAAGAAGCAGAATCAAGTGTGTGAAGTAAAAGAAATCAGGCAGCTCACAGAATCTAGATGTTCTTGGTACAATTATTTTCACCTGGCACAGAATCTTAGTAGGTTTTTAATTATATTTTTTTAAATTGCAAACAGCATGCAGCCCACATCTTAACCTCATCAGGCAAGCTGAGAAATTTCACCTGATCCATTACTGGGAAAAATCTCTCTTTCCTTGTGGGCCTATTTATCCTTGATTCAGCTTACACAGATCACAAGACAACGCAGCCTTTGGCTTTCCCAGGGAGCCTGGCGGGGCCCTTCCACTTGGAGGTTAAGGCAGCCCCCTCCAGTCTTGCAGGAATCGCATAAGCAGGAAGGCGGACAGGGAGCAGGAGAAGGAATCTCAGGAAAGAGTTTTGCTTACGGAGTAAAACACATTTTAATGGGCCGTGAGAGCAGTGGTTGTTATCTGATCCACCAATAGGGTGGGACTCTCCTTTCCCCACCTTTCCTACAAAGCAGCTCACTTGGACCGATAATAGCAGGAATTCCACAGGGTCATGGCAGAGGTATTTTAAACGCAGACACTGAAGCAAGAAGGCTGATAGACAGAATAAGACTTGTTCTTCCAGCTGTCCTGGGAACAGTGGGAGAGGGAAAGGCAGCGCTCCCCTGCTCACGTTTGAGCTCTCCTTCCCATTTTGCCTTCTGGGCAAACAGACCCCGTGTTACCTTAAAACAACAGAGAAAAAAAACGGGACAGGTGGAAATGAATCTTACAGCACAGAATACAAAGATAGGTGTTTCAAAAAACATGAATTAAATCCTTCAAGGAGTGGAATCAAGCCTTTGAAAAAGCATTACAACAGAGGGAGAGATGGAGCCACGCAACTGGTTTGGTTTTCACATGGGACCTTTTCATGCTGACAGATTTATTGCATCACTGTTTTCCTCCCACTGAAGTCCAAAGCTTGAGAATTATTTAAAGTCTAGGTCACCAGATGAACCTGTTGGGTGAATCCACCTTCAACCATCTATTTGACTGAGGTATTTTCAAACATCGTCTTAAAAGTGCAGAAAAAGTGATGGGGACACAGAAATGACATGAGCAATTTCCTCCCTCTCCTCACAGAAAAAGATCACAGTAAGAAATCAATTAAAATTAGTACAAGTTAAAAAAAAGACAACATATGAGGTAATCTTTCACATCTCGCAAGAGTCATTTAAACTCTGCTGTTCACCCCTTCCGAACAGCCATTTGCTGTTGGCAAAGGACAATCCATGCCGAACAAGTGGAAAGCAGAAAGACGAGGCTGGGAATTAAGGCAACCCCCCCAAACGCCCTTCCGTTCATCTGGACTCCTTCTGGTGCTTTTCCCTTAAAGCAGCTGGAGAATCCCACTTTTTAACCACCAAACAAGCCACTCAGCTTGGGTGCCAGGCCCAGAATCAATGCATATCTTTCCAATAAGGATGCTCTCCCGATGGAGTGTGATGTGCTGCAGGATCTCCTCTGCCATTCTGCACCATGGAATCACAAATAAGCAGCAGCTCCTGAGAAGAAGGCCATTCCTCAGTTTAAATATTTAGTGGTTATTACTATCCGAAGCGAAATTTGAGCCTGTATTTGACTGGTGGGGAGTTCTTCCGAGGCACTGGCAAGGAAACCTTTGGCTTTGCTGGGATGACAGCAGGTGGCTTTTTCTTTTCAGGGGCGGTGACAGTAAAAGAGAGTTCAGGCGGCTCGGCTTGTCTGAACCTCGGGAGGAAATGGGTGGAAATATGCTGAGGTTTGACCCGGGGGCTGCACCCTCTTTTCGCTTTGCCCCTTTTGTTCAAAGCCACGTACCATTCTCTTCCCGTTCGTTCTGTCCTGTAAACAGCCGAGGCGTACGTGTTATAACTGTTTTCTTGAAACCTCTCCCTGAATTTGCAGTCATCTGTAAATTTGGCCTAGAGAGGAAAAGAATCAAACAGACAAGTTTATGCAACATGTTTTCAGGGGCTTCAGGATAATCATTTTAGACCTGTATTTTAGCTAGGCAGTGACTGTTCCTCGTTCATGTACCCCAAAAAGAAGATACAGCTTACTACCAAAACATGGGACTTCTTCTACCATTGGCTAGAGAATTGGAATTTTAATTAGGGCTGAAATACATAGCAATTGTAGAGAGAAATAAGACTTTGCACCCAGTATGTTTGAAGTCTTTGGAATAACTATTTGTTTAGTGAGTAGAAAACAAAACAAAAAAACCCACCCTTTGAAACCAGGATACCCCAAGGGACAACAAAAGGTCCGTATTTAGTTAGTGAAATTTATGCATCACTTCAGAAGACCAAAAGGAGTCACAAAGTGATTTACAGCAGCAACAGCAACAACACAAAAAAGCAATTTCTAATAGCTTGGTCATTAAACTATGCAGATTTATTTGGTGGTCCGTCCAAAAGGCCACCTGAAACCCTAAGCAACAGAAACTACCACCGAGTTCTAACCATCAACAGTCCAAGTGTCCTGGAGAATAGAAACATTTTCAGTTGGTGCTGAAAAGATTACAGAGTTGATGCCAGGTGAGTGCTTCATAATCAGCCCACCACTGGGAGCCCCCCCCCCCCAAATGCCTTTTCCTTGTTCAGCACCTTCTAAACATATCCTGGGAGAGACACAAACAGAGGCCCAGAGGCCCATCTCAAGGTTCTGACAGGTTCATATGGGAACAGGCAGTCCAGGAGGTAGCAGAAGTCCTGGCCCATACGTTGGGCAGCTGTTGTCCAACTCATCTGGAGAGCATGAGGTTGAGGAAGACTGTTTAGCGTGCTCACGGCCTGTGATCTAAACAAGCTTCTTAGAACTGTGCACTGTGTTACCACAAACCAACCTTCCATAATCCTCCAAATATTTTGGACTTCCGCTCCCATCACCTCCTCCTGACCAGGGCCAACAGTCATGCCTTCTGAGAACTGTGACCCAAATTCTGTAGACTGCCAGGTTGGCTTAGACCTTGCTGCCTTCTCTAACAGCCTTCTGATGCCAGGTTTGCCTAAATGTATACAGGGAACCTTATACTCAGTCACAGCATGGCTCCATCCGTCTGCCTACTCAGAGCCGGTTTTCAGAAGGGCTCCCAGAACTCAGCAGTGGCGTTTCCCAACCCAGCCGCTTGAGATTCTTCTGCCAGGAGTCGATCCTGGGAGTGTTTCCACACGGAGCCTTGGCAGCCCCAGATTTTTCAGGTCCAGCCTCCGAAAAAGGGACCTTCCCTCAGGGATTCTACCTTCTTGCCACCACCGCCACTAGATGTGCTCGCTCCTCATCTTCTTTTTCATCATCCCTGCATCACTCAGACACTTGCTCGGCAGGTGGAACGCCAGCATGCAGGCAGGTGAGGGCACCTGCAGCTTCCCCTTTCCGTTCCCAGCCAGTGGGAGAGAAAGGGAGAGGCAGGGAAACAAGGCGCTTGCTGTGGTGAAAGGAAGGGCTCGGTCGAGGGGATTCTGGTCAGTGGGTCCCCACACTGGGGTGTGGGCCCTTGACAGCTTTGCACCTGTGCTTGCCTTTGCAACTGGCACGTAGTCAGACCCTCTAACCACTGCACAACACTGTTTTAACTAGACTAACTCCCTAGTAAGTGTGCTTAGAATTGCAGTCAGTCTTGTCTCTGAAACTAACAACGTGTTCTTTTCTATTGATTTGTTTAAGCTTTTCTAACCTGTCCACTACTGATGTCTCGGGACGGCTTACAAGAGAAGGAAAAATAAAACAAAGCACAGCATCCGACTGTTCAATAGGACAAAACCCAAGTTAAAACCAACTAGACATTAAAATAGTGGGGGGGAATCAAATAATTAAGTGCCGCACTTGTTTTTGATCTGTCTTTGCTGCCTGATTGCATTTGGCACCGGACTGTGCGCCATGAAGCGGGATTGCATGTTGGCAGGCATGTGGAACTACGCAGCACATGGAGCTGGGATAAGCCCCTTGTGGCGGGGGGAACGATCCCAGTGCTCCTAGACAGTGCCAGGGAGGCAGCGGATGCTTTGGCTTCCCAGATCCAAGGTCGGAGCAGAACTCGGACCGCCGTACTGGGAACCGAGCTCCAACCTGCCTCCTCCAGCTTGCAGGACTGGCTAGACCTGCACCAGCCGCCTCTCCAGGGTTGGGGACTCCAACTCGAAGAGGGGCTAAGGGGGAGTTTGAGTAAGTGGGGAGGGGGCCACAGAAGCCTGTGTCCTCTGCAGACTCTCTCCCTCCCCCGCGGAAGTGCCCCCGCCAGATAGACAAGAACGACTGAGTGGCAAAAAGGCAGAGTGGGAGGAAGAAGGAGGCGACATGTATTTCTGCTGCCTTCCACCCTGCGCTGTGTGATGTCAGCCTCCCAGGACCAAGGCTGGCCATCAGCGGGACAGGACTGCCCCAGAAGAGAATGACCCAGGGATCGGGAAGCCCCTAGGCAAGCCCCTTCTCTCCCCTTGTTACCGTTTGCCACATGGAGATCATAACGCCAGTTTATCTTACAGGCATGTCAGAAGGATTGTAACACCAAAACTTACAGGAAGAACACTGGATATTTGAAAGCATTGTGACTATTATTATTATTATAATAATTATTATTATAATTATTATTATTATTAATTTCTACCATCAGCTTCTGCATTTTTCGGCTGTTCCTCTCTTGTCCCGACTTCCTGCTTAGCTCCCTCACATTTCTCATAAGGCTGCAGAAACAGGGTTTTGGGTTTTTTTGCATGACTAGCATAATACAAGATAAGAAACAGTCACTTAACCAAGCATAAAGGGCATATAAAATACACATTTCACCATGCTGATGCTTCCAGTCATCAGTGAAGCCAATTTTAGTCTGTGTAAAAGGACAATGGATTGTAACGTAGCTTCTTAATGGAAGATCTGACTGCCACGACGCATAATCATCCATCAAACCCGAGTGGCTGGAAATATCAATATAAATATACTGTAGACTAAGTGGCATGGTAAACATTTCAGACAGTAATTGTTTTGCTTGATCCTATATATGTTATTTACTTTTCGCACTATACATGGGTACTTTTATCTATTTGCCGTATTTTGATTCCACCTTACCTCCAAAGAGCCCACAGGGTCCTCCATGATCCCCCTCCTCTGATTCCTCCTTCTCTCCAAATTCATCCTCACAACAGCCTTGTGAGGTAGGTTAAGCTGAAAGTCAGTGACTGGTCCAAAGACACACAGTGAGCTTTATAACTGAATGGGGAAGAGAACCCAGATCTCCCAAGGCCCAGCCCAAGACTCCCACCACTACACCGCCTTGCCTTAGTTTCCCTGCAGTGGTTTTACTGTGCTCTGCATGACTGAAACCAGAATGGATGGTTTTATTGCCTTTAAAGACAGCACAAACATTTCTACTAGTGCAACTCATGGCCATAGTGAGGGCTAAGTCAATCTGAAGATGTGACCCCTCATATATCTATAGATCCGGGTGTATTTTTGGGCTCAGTTTAAATAGCTGGTATTAACCTGGGGAGCAGGAGTGGGTCCTCCCAATTTTTTAGCATACAACTCCCAGCATTGCCAAAGGTGAAGGATAAATTGCAGGCCAAAATGCCTCGATGCTCACAGCTTCTGTAAAGCCTTTGGTGCTTTGGAGCCAAATTATATGAAGAACTGTCTTCACCTTTATATAACCACTTCTGAGGTCGGCACCTCCTTATGCACCTACCTATGGGAACAACCAGGCTGGAGAGAGTGATTCTTTGGCTTGAGAAAACTCTTGACCGATGCAATTTTACAGCAGCCTGGCTTTTATCTCTTGCATCCATCCTTTCCCAACCTTGTGCCCTCCAAACCTTTGGTTGTTATTTATTTATTTCTATACCACTCGTAGCCAAAACTCTCTGGGAGGTTACAGCAAAGTTAGACCACAACATCCATCATCCCTGAGAAGTGTCGTCCACCAAACCTAGAAGGCACCAGATCGGGAAAGCCAGCATGAAAGAAAGGGAAATGCTTGTTTTAATTAAGCACTTGCAACAAGTTTATTTCTCATAGTTCACCAGGATGGGTTCTGCCTGAAAGGAGAATTTTGCTGCCTGCTGCTTTGCTCCAAAAAGATTGCGCTGAACAGCCACCAAGAATCGAGAAGGGCTGAAAGACGATACCACTGCGATGAATTCCCGCTCCTGACTTGTTCACTATAAATTTGAGAAGACAATTCCACATGATTACCTCCCAAAGGGGGCCGGATTGTTTTGGCACGGAAATGTGTGTCTCATCTATCAGTAAGACTTCTTCAGTGCAGAGAGACGGGAGGGGTTTGATGTCCGGCATCGTCTCATTAAGGCCGAGAGAGAGAGCAGGGAAGAGTGATGGAAGCATTGCCAGCTGAACTCACTCCCTTCCTGTCCCCGCTTACAGCGAAGGCCTGTCCTCAGACAGTTTCCTCCCTTATCAGTCCAGAGAGCGGGAGATTTGCCATACCCCAGGGATTCTCCCGGCTGGGGTCCCCACGACGACCCATGGTTGGGCGGTCACTAATGCACTGCCAAAGAAAAGGCAAGGCATCACTAAGACAGGGGGACAAAAGGAAATGCAGAAATACGCAGAAACTGTGCCTGCACTTATTTGTACATATCGATGCAAATCTGGAAATAGTTATTCTACTTTAAATAAGAATTAAACACATTTCACCGTGTCGGGGAAGGCTGTGACCAGTTCCCCAAATTAGTCAGCCATCCAGAAGCTAACTGTTGATGGACAACTTTAAGTTCCCTCCTCTGCCTTCTTACAGTTTATCTTTATTATTTATTCAGGGTATTTAAACCTGGCCTTTTTCCCTGCAGAGAACCCAAGACATCTTACATAGTTCTTTACCTCTCCATTTTTCCTCACAACAACCCTGGGAGGTAGGCTCAGCTCTAAATCAGCAATTGGCCCATTGTCACTTAGAGAGCTTTATGGCCAG